ATTTGCCAAACTGCATGTTGACAAGCCACAAAGCTTCTGGGAGAATGTCCTATGGACAGACGAGACAAAACTGGAACTTTCTGGCAAGGCACATCAGCTCTATGTTCACAGACGCAAAAATTAAGCATATCAAGAAAAGAACACTGTCCCTACTGTGAAACATGGAGGAGGCTCTGTTATGTTCTGGGGCTACTGTGCTGCATCTGGCACAGGGTGTATTGAATCTGTGCAGGGTACAATAAAATCTCAAGACTATCAAGGTATTCTAGAGAGAAATGTGCTGCCCAGTGTCAGAAAGCTCAGTCTCAGTCGCAGGTCATGGGTCTTGCAACAGGACAATGACCCAAAACAAACAGCTAAAAACACCCAAGAATGGCTAAGAGGAAAACATTGGACTATTCTGAAGTGGCCTTCTATGAGTCCTGATGTAAATCCTATTTAACATCTGTCGAAGAAGCTGAAACATGTCGTCTGGAGAAGGCACCCTTCAAACCTGAAACAACTGGAGCAGTCTGCTCATGAGCAGTGGGCCAAAATACCTGCTGAGAGGTGCAGAAGTCTCATTGACAGTTACAGAAATTGTTTGATTGCAGTGATTGCCTCAAAAGGTTGTGCAACAAAATATTAAGGATTAAGGGTACCATCATTTTTGTCCAGGCCTGTTTCATGAGTTTATTTTTTAAAATAATTCTGTTAAACCACAGTTCAAAAGCAATGTCTGTACTTTTGTCACATTCAAGTTATTTCTGTGACCATTGTGGGTTTGTCTTTCATTAACCAAGGGGTATCAAAAATTTTGTCCACTGGTGTATGTTAATAATTAGTGACATCAGATCATCCAAACACCCAAAAACATGTTCACTTTTTTCAGCAAATAATCACACAGAGAGAGTGAACGCTGCTCCCATGCAGAAAGAGTTAGAGTCAGAATCATTAAAACTTTACTGTTGATTGTAAAGCTGTGGAAATGTGTCTTTGACGTGGCGCACACATGTACAATAGGAATGAAAACATGCATGTAGCCAACATTATGCACATAGTGTTAAAAGGAAAATATACACATCTGTATTTACACACGGAGTTAAGAACAGTTTGTGAAGTGTTAGAGTGTTTCGATCTGATGAGTAAATCTTCGAAGGAGTAAAAAAGAAAAAACAATCACAGAGATTTAGGACACCTGCTCGATCATGTGAAACTTACCTTACATTTCAACAACATTAAATGTCATTTTCATATCAGCATAACCTCCTAAATGCTCAAAGCAAGCAGCAAACAATATGGACCAAGTAGATGCTGTTGACTTGATTGTAATAGTTGCATTATTTCTGTACAGTTATAAACATTACAAACAGAGATGAGTAGTGCCAAAAACCACCGAGAAAAATTAATTTGGTTGGCAAGATGGTGTGTGTATTCGCTTTGATTGTGTATCATAACCTCTGCTATCGTGTCACCTACTTGTTGGAGTACAGAAAATAGCATTTACTGCTTGTTAGATCAGGATATTTTTCATTATCAACCACAGACTAACGTGACACATGTTCCTGGCAACAAACAAATGGTACGATCGACCTATTTCAATTGGCAGCTATAAATAAATATCAGCCTTTTGGTAGCAACAAATACAGTTTCACTTGGCATTTTTTTTGAAAGTTCAAAGATTACTGCCATCTTAAAGATATATTTAATATTACAATAAAACTGGCAGCATAAACACAAATGTAAGAATTCCCCTGATTTAACATGTAAGCACTATGCCAACATTTAATGCATAGCGAATAACGCAATAAATGTAACACTTTTAGGCTGTTTTTAATTAACTTGATCAGAAATATTTGAGCTGACTGGGATGATTGTTCTTATTGTTTCTATCACCTGTGTTAAAAAGCTGGATGAAATTGACAGAAAGTTCATATTTCGTTCATGCTCTCAATTTTCTGCTGTTATTTAATGGTCCCAACTGCTTGGGTCGAGGCGACTAACTTCTAATATTTGACCGAATGCATTTTAATCTCCTGACATTTATGCCATTGGATTTAGTTGCAAAGCCAAACATCACAGGACCATTGTGGACACATTTTGGTTTTAAGCCAAATGATAAAGGAGAGCCTAAAAACTTGCAGGAGGCAATTTGTCGGATTTGCAGAAAAGAAGTTGGCAGTTAAAGGTGTTAATACAACTAATCTGAAACTAACAGAGGCAGAACAGAAAAAGATTAATATATTTCCAATCATTTCTATAACAAATAACCATGAACTAAAATTGTATGATTGTGGTAGGTCTAGTTTTACAACCAAAGTACGAAAGTAGTACAACTTTAAGCTCTGTGTGGCAAGATATTTTTATAAAATAGCTCAACAATTACAGCAGCCTGGGCTTCAACAAGCAAATGGATAGTTGAACCAATGAGAGATTATTAATTTAGATAAAGTTTTACTTAAAACCTACATTTTCCTATAAAGAGAAAATGAGCTTACTAAGTGCTGTAGCTAACAGTGGCCTGAGATGCCAAAAAAGGATGCATGTACAATCCATTGTTGAAACAGTCACACTTTTACTTTATAGATTTATAACATCTGCCACCAGGCTGCAAGTTCAGAAAGATTCACTTTCTATTGCCAGCAAAACAAAATATTTAAAACATTTCACATATGCCACATTTTAATACTTTTGTCGCTGTATATCGCTGAAGTACTTTTCAAGAAATGCAGACTGTGCTGATATACAGATATGACGACATAAAAGCCATATAAAATACAGTATTTGCATCCTCTCCTGATCGTGTTTTACTGTATTGTCCTTCATTATCTGTTTCTACAGCAGTTTGCTGAGGGCATGTTGCCAAAAACATTAATAAACACTGATATCTGCTTATAGGTAGATTTTTGGGGAACACTGTTACATAGAGAAAAGTATTATATGTGTATACAGTGTTTATAAATGCTTAATAGAGGCGTTAAAGCAAAGTCTCACCAGCATTCTTACTACTTTAACACAACTTGGTGTTTTGGAAACTAGGTCTTGTGCAGCCGTACTGTAGTTGTCTTAATGATAGCAATCAGTGACAGTGGAAAGTTTGCTTACCCTTCATAATCATGGCGGTTGTGCAGCACCCTCATGACAATGCAGGCAGCTACAGCGATGCCGACGAGCACAAATAAAGCACCACAAACTATTCCGACTATAAGGGCAGTGTTGCTCTGAGGAAGAGACTCTGGACAAACACAACAAAGAAGAAAGTCAGGGTTGGCAGATGTTTTCAATAACACCAGCAATTTAGGTGCTGAATTCTGTGTTTTTATGCATTAATTAGAACTTTTCTTACACCATATACATGAATAGTATCCCTTTTCAGCTAAAAAAAAAAACAAAACAGCTTTTAAATTTGACCCAGAAACCCAAAATACAAGAAAAATTACACACAAATCTTTAAATAGTTGTGAATCTTCAGTGATAATCACCCAAAACATTACAAGTTAAGATTTTAGGTCTTTATGTATTCCTTTTTTGTGCAGCACCTTTTAAACTTTCCTCATTCCACATGCATGGCACTTTTCAGCAAAAACAAACAAACAAACAAACAAACAAACAATAAAAAAAACAAAAACCAAAAACAAAACTGAAAAAAAGGAGTAATTGGGTTTGACCCAGAAACCCAAAATACGCGAAAAATTAGCCAGAAGCCTATAAATACTTGTGATTCTTTGGTTATAATCACTCAAAATAAGACAGATCAAGATTGTGAAAAGTATAGTTTCGATATTGCTACCACACAATCGGAGGAAAAAACACATGTGAAGAGATTTTATCAGTGTATGTCTATATAAAAATGTCTTTTAAAACACACCTACTTCACAAACACAAACATGATACTGTGTGGGAGGCCCACATGACTCGTTTAGTCTCTACACCATAGACACGTAGGAACACAGTTATAGTATTATTAAGAAGTTTCAGCACAACTTCAACTCCCCACTCCCAAGAGAAAAATCCAAAGCAGAGTGGGGAGTGTCACTGATACCGGCAATCCCGCAGTAACAACAGCTCTGTGAGTTTAGGAATAACACCAAGGAAACTCTTTGTGAGAGCAAAAGAAAGGAAAAAAAATTTCTAAGCAAACACATCTGACTCCAGCAAACATGTTCTATTTTGGCTCTGCATTGCTCCCTTGATACAAATGCCAGATACAGAAAAAACTCCCACCTGGAAGTTGGCGCAACCACAATGAAGACGAAAGATAACAAGTCATCACATGCACATGTGGGCTTCATGTAACTGACGAAAAAGTAACAAGAATGCACCTGTACGATTTATGAGTTGGAACAGTTTTTGCACTGGATCCTCCTTTAAGAAAATGTAATGCTATTTGACTGAAGACTGCATAGATTCTCATTATTGGAACCGTTATTACAATATTTATCAAATATAACTCAGATTGTAGTTTTTTCACAGTTAATTTAGATATCAGTCAGAAAAAAAATTTAAAAAACAAAACAAAACAAAAAACAATATAGTCTCTGATAAGAGTTTTGGCTGTGTCCTTGAAGTAACCTTTGCACTTCGGATGCCCTGATCAACTTTTCTGATTCCGACTAGTCCTCTAATATTCCAATCTGATGTCTTTACGAAAATGTCGAAACACCAACAGGTGTAACCTTCTAAATGTGACACACTTGAATTTCACAAGCTATTTGATCTTAACGGTGAAGGCCCTGATACTAAAGCTGATAACTGACAACATAATAGCGGTTCGTGTTTTCGGCTTTATTACAGAGGATATGTTAAATTATAATCTGTTTCATATAGTTTTGTGAGCCTATCATAAATCTTAATTCTACCTACCTATTCTCTTTACATATCCATCTGAATATTTCTTTTATATACAACACAGCTCAAGAAAGATTTTTTTGTCTTTTTTTTTTTAATTTGATCAAAAAAAGAGAAAACATTATGTCAACACTACCTAAATCAGCAATAGCTGTTTTCTTAACCACTAGGGGCAGCAAAAACAAAGTGTCCACTTGATTTTTGACAGCTTCACAATTTAAAGCAAACATTCTGTGTATCTTAGCATAATTTTTGGCCTCTACCAATAATTGAGGGAAATATTTGTCTCCCCAGGTGCTAAATGCTCTACTGTGTTCACCATCAACTCGTTAAAAGTGTCTGTCTGCTGTTTGGTGCTAAGCGGGTAGAGGAAAGTGGAAAACAGATGCCTGTTGCAATTAGAAACAACGCTATGACAGAGGTGAGAGTGAACCAAAAAGCAGACAGTTAAACGATGAGCTTAGGGTCACTATAAGCTCTGCAAAGCTGAGAGGAGCTGCAGGTTCTGGTGATAAAATATTCAGTTGTTTTAAGCTATTTTTAAGTCTTGTGCAAAGAAACTTAAGCATTTTCAAATCTGGTAAAATAAAAAAAGACTGCTCATGTCGTGGAAGCAACTAACATTTTGGGTCCACACATGCAGTTGAATCATTCGACAAGCTGCAAGCAGGTAACCAATTTATGGCCCTACTGGGAATTGAAAAAACTTTTACTGACCTGCTGCCTGCCTGTAGGTCTGAGGTTTAGACAGGTTTAGAGCTAATCCTGTTTGGCTCACAGGTAGGTTACAAGCATTTCGCAGCTACATGTTAACATAAACTGTGGAGTCATCTAGGTTTAAAATAAATATAGGTTTGTCCAAAATGGCCAACATCCACAGTTGATTCTGTTTAACCAAATTGTAAAAGCCCAGAGCAAAAAGCCATATTGAAGAGAAAACTCCTCTCGTGGAAACATGACAGATTGAGCACAAAGAGGCACACTGCAGGCGCGTACCGCTCTACACTGCGTTTTCTCAGCATGTGTGCATACAAAGCACCGGTGAGTGGGTGAACACAACTAACAAGGTCTGGCCAAGGCCGCTATCCTGCTCATAGAGCATGTATGACATCTTAATATTCTTCCGTTTCCAAACACACCGCCTCAAGCTCAAACTGGTTGTCATTATTGAAGAATACAGTTCGTAATTACTACATTTAAACCAGTATTCGCAGGATTTCAGTGCATCAATTTGAATAGAAATCTAAAATAAATTCACCTTTCAGAACGACCCTGAGCACCGTTCGAGCTTCCGTTCCCTTTACGTCTGGTGGGTTCTTCACATCGCAGAAGAAGGTGCCGTTGTCACTGAACTGAGTCGGGCTCAGCTGTATTGACACGTCCCTCTTGTTGATGTCTCCAACAAACTGCACTCTGTCTTTGAACTCGTCTTGTCCCGGGAATCCTTTCCCATTGGAAAAGTAGTAAATCTAAAAAGGGAATGACAACTGGATTAAACTGTGGCTCCTGGAAATGCAGCTGCAGTGGAAGTAAAGTCAAACTGTCTAATACCATTGATCTAAAAAAATATTATATTTTGTAGCACCAATAAAGTGAAAACACAGCTGTAGCTAAAAAAAATTACGGCAATATGAAAGGAAATCAATGTCCTAATTTCTTTGATTACTTGACAGTTTATTTTCTTTTGGATTAGGACCATAATTTATTGTTTACATTACTTCAATTTATTATACTATTATAATAGGTTACATTTGTTATTAGATGGATGCAACAATCAGTCTGTCAAAACATTATTCGACCGACAAAAACAAATTGTCACAGTATTTAAAGCAGAAATAGAAAATGGAAATTGAATATCGTTGCATTTTGGACACAACGGAACAAGCCTTGCTTACTAAAAAATAAGAATTGTGTTCTGACTACCACACAGTGATCATCAGACTACTTTCTGCAAAAAATAGGTATAGTAAGTATTTATTATATTTATAAAATGTATGTATAATTGCAGACTCGCTGACCAAATTACACTGTCTCATTCTGCTACAGAGTCAAAACAGTGAGCTTCTAGTTTTATAAGCCTTTATTCATAGCAGACATTCTGATGTAACACAGCCGGAAAGGCACAGGCGTTACTATTTGCATTAACAACGGTTTTGTTCTACTGTATTAGTGTCTCTGTAAGTCATAACAGTGTGCCAGTAAACCAGCAAGCACAATACTAGAACTGTGAAACTGAAGCCTCCCAATGGAATTCAGCCATTTTTAATTTTATTATTTACACATGTCCGTTTGCTGCTGTGACGTCAAAATGCTGCCTGTGAAATAAAAGGCTCATGGCCGCAGGAAACAAGAACATACAGCTGTTTTTCTGCATATGTAGTATTGTTCTAATGTTCCCTCATTCTCAAAACTCAAAAACACACTGACATTGATTATCATTAAACAACAAGGGAGTTCAAAAACATGTCTGACTCTTCATTTGGTTGCACATTGTTGTAAAAAGCAGGCAGCATGAGTAGATTCTTATTCATAGCCAGTGCTGACAGGTTAAAATCCTTGCCGGTGTTAAGATTATATCAGCTTCAACTTCAGTCTGTTCATTACTGAGCTCTCTCCAAACCAATGACTCAATTCTCCCAAAGACTGACTGGAAGTAAAAAGACACATCACCCTGTAACATTACTGTACAACACTGAGTGAAGTGTGTTTTTGCAGTTCAACACAGTGGAGTCTCTTCTCTAGAGAAATGATCATCTGATCTTCAAATACAGTTAAATACAGAGTCACAGTTCAACTTACGATGCATGAAATCTATATTTTGAGCTCACTGAGTTCATGGTGGTGAATAGGGATTTCATTATTTGGAAGTGATTTGTTAAAAAAAATCTGATGTAAAAGTTACACCATGTTCAAGCTGTTATTTCAGTGTGTCATGATAATCCGCCTCCATCAACAACTATCATTTCTCCTTCGTTGCGCAACTTATTTTCAGGTCAGAGCTATAGTTTGTATTTTAAAAAATAAATAAATTACAGCTATCTGAATTAACAACAACAGTGGCCAGTTTAGCAGCTTCCACTATAAACTGTGGTATTTCTGGCTTTCTGTCAAAGCTGAATCTTTGAGTTGAAGTTATTTATAACGAGAGCTGCCCTGAATAACATTTCTGGGGCTTCGAAGCTTCAGGGAGCGGGTTTGTGCATAGAAAATGACAGGGGTGGCTGTTTTCATGCACGCCATTCAGCTGCAGTATATTTTGGCCTTTCGTTTTCTCTGTAAACACTGAAACACTGAGCTGATGTTTTGAAATGCGCACACACACACACACACACACACACCCCCATTCCTATTTGTGGAGTGAGAAAAATGATGGTTTAGTTTGAAATGACTGGGCTGGAACGTCAGACAAAAAAAGATGATTTAAGAATTAACCCGTTTATTGTGGAACACACTACAAGTGTTCGCTGCACGTATCTGTTCTGGCACGACTGCTCTTCAAATTAAAGACCCTTTGGCTATGTCATTATGTTTGCAGGAGATCACAGCAGACAGAAGTGCCCCCGCCCAACCGGACTGATCTGTAAACAAAAAGGAGTAGGTATTGTAGATGGGACATAATCTGCCATCCACCCCGCCCTGAAAACCTTCTGGATTCAGCTGAATTCATGGACAAACTTTGTGATTGGAGGTCCAGTTTAACATGAACTTTTGGGAAAAACCCTTTAAGCCCCAATATATAAATTATGTTTATTTTGTTTTTAATCACCAGAATCAACCCATTTATTAGCAGTTTTCCACTGCTAATCAGTCTTGTGCAGTTCTATCGGAAACCTGAATTGAATATAAGCTTAAAATTATGGTATTTTATCAAAATCATTTTCTTTTACATGCCCTGTTAGAAAATTGTCAACAACAAACCGTTTGCACCAGATTCTTTAAAAAAATAAAATAAAAAAATACACACTCTTTGGTGCAACCTTGAAGCCATGACTGACTCAGCTGTGACAAACAGTGACATGACAGAAATTCAGGGACTTTTCAGCTGAACTGGGTCAAACTACAGATTGTGTTTACGGTGAGCAGACACAAGACAACTTTAAAAATTTAGGTATTTTCATTTCTGTAATATGTAAAGTCAGGTATTTTTGACAGTACTGGTAACACGTGTAGGTAGATGGACATTTTGTTTTTACATGTTTATTCACCGCTTGAAATGAATAATTAAAGAAATCTGAATTTCATTTAGTCTTTCTAATGATTTATGAAAGTCTAACTTTCTTATGTTACACAAAAGATATTTTTGAGTTCTCTCTACTTCTAGCTATGGTTGTGATGTTTCTATAGAGATGCAGGACATCATGGTCGTGAAAATTAGCCCCACAGCAAGTAAAAATGTGACTCAGTTGCTTAAGTGTCTCAAATGAGTGTAAGCTAGTACAATCAGAGTAATACGCACAATAAACTATATTCACTGAAGCAGCAGTACGACACTTTTAGTACCTGACAGTAAATCTTAACTGCTTGAGAATTACATCTATGATAATCACGAGCGTCATGAATCATTTTGCCAGAAACAAATCAATTTCCTTGCTGTGAGTGGGCGAACCAAGCACAAACACTGTATGGAAATTCTGTAGCTGAAGCCAAGAGCTTTGTGTTGTCAGTCAGCTACAAGAATGAGAAATAAAGAAGAATACTAAAGCACCATGAGATAAAATTATGCTGCTGAGGCACGAGATACACAGATGAAAACAAACAAATAAACAGACATAGAGACACAAGGTGGAAGCAGGAGTGAGGATAAAAACAATATACAAACTGTACAATACGCACAGCATAAATAAAAGCTTGGCGCTGTATCTGAAGTGGAAACTGAAACCAGCTTCACACTGAAACCAAATCATCACAATGAGCATTTACCCGCAGGAACAGCTGAAGCCTTTCTTCTTGTGTCAGGACAGATAAAACAATCGCAGGAAAACATCCTGAAACTGTGGGAAATCTTCCTAGAGCGGATACGAGCAGCGATCACGTACCGTGTACGGAGCTTTGGAGAACTGATTGTCGGGCTGACTCGACTGAAAGCGCCATGTTACTGAGGTGGTACTGCTGACCACTTCGCTGGACTTGAAGGTGCATCGCAGGACTCCAGTGGTGCCGTTCTGTACGATCACTTCTGGCTCGGCGTGGATGTCGATCGCCGATGTAGGTTTTGTGACTGTTCAGAAATGAGGGCATAAAAGGTTCCTGGTGTTAGTTACAAGCAACTACAAGGAGCACTATATTAGCAGAAGGTAACATACATCTTAATGGGTGTTAAGACTCCAGAAATCCCTGTATTAAAAGAGGGTTGGTGGTCACACCATAAAATGTAATCCACAGAGTCCAGTTTAAGAGATTCCTGCATTTAAAGGCCTATCAGACACTAAAACACAACAAGTGGTTTGTAACAGAGACCTCATCTGTAACCTGAAGTAAAAACATCTAATAAAGAATCACATTAAATCAATAACAACGGCAATAACTACATCTCCAGCAGAGACAGAGTCTGTCTCATAATATGTTTTGTGGCTCGTTTTATATGTCTCTGTATGGACACTGCTTTCTGAAACACCATCTAACATTACTGCTTATTTAATATTTATATTTTTATTGGCATTTAATGTACACCACTTCCCATTAGTCCCTGACATTTGCAGGATGAATGTCACAGTTCGAGAAACAGACGTGGCTGTAACAACAGAGATAACAACTCTGCGGGATCTTTTAGACTACACAAAGCGTGCATTGGAAAGCTGAAAAATGACAAACAGGCTGCTGCACTTACACATTTTCAGGGGAGGTGTAGCTTTCTTTCCTTTTAAATTATAAAGCCTTCTATTTCTAAGATTCATTGCTGTAGTGGTTTCCCATTTGTCTTAAAACATGGACAATAAAACTTAGGTACAGAATGATGAGAGAAAATGCTGAATCAAAGAGTTATAGAGGCAAGTGGAGGATTGAATGTAACATCATGACTTTCTATCAGTCCTCTCAGACAGGATTTACAACTCTGGAAAGCTACAACAGCACCAAGTATTTCATCTTTTATCACAGCAATCACAAGCTAAACGGAAAAAAATCTGTAATTCAGATTATATCATAATCTACGGCACCTTTCCAGATATAACGCTGGAGCAAACCTTGAACCTGGCTGAACTTTTGCCTCATGAGGGATGTTTGAACACTGCTATTGGCTTTAACAATTACATAAAGAACTTGTGATCAAAATATTACAGGGGTGGGAGTTGACAGTGATTTAGGTAATCTTTTAATCTAAAAGCTTTGTTTGATGAATCGCTCAATCATTCAGTCTGTGAAATGTCAGACAAATGAGAGGAAATTCACAACTTTCCAGAGTCTAATGTCACATCTGTAAATGTCCATAACTTAAATATATTCAGTTTTCAATGATAGATAACAAAAGAAGCAGCAAATACTCTCATGCAAATAACTGGGACCTGAGAGTATTAGCCATTTTTTCACTCTTTTTATTTGAAAAGTGACTGAAATTATGAATAAGTTATCACAGTTAGTTATTTATCTGTCAATCGAGTAATCATTTTTTTTTTTTTTCAGTTTTAGTCAACTGTCGCAGTATTTTGGTGTCTGTTAAATATGGGGGGGGGGGGGACGACATAAAAGTAAGATCTGTCCACACCAGTTAATAATTCATATCACTGAATTATTAACATTTGTTCCACTTCACGTGACTTAATTCATTACCTCTAATACATTTCATTAAGCTATTGTAGCAGAAAGAGAGTACGACAGTGCCATAAATTAGTGAATTATTTCCCACAAATTAAATAATTTATCATTACCATTTGCTGGCCAGCTGTGTACTAAAAGCATGCATGAGTAGTGCCGTGCAAATAAACACTGGATCATGTACATTTTAAACTTCCTCATTGAGTCAGCACAGCTTTAGATTGACTTTGGACTCAAAGACATGGATGTATTTTGAATTTTGGCTGGTAAACACAACAATGTGTCATCTATATAATCCTTTCAACAGTTTTAAAGTGATGCATAGACTGATTCTGTTCTGTTAACTACATTAGAGTATGGATAACTCATTTGGCTTTCAATTTCTCAAAAATGACACCTGATAGGTTCTACATAATCTTTAACAATTAAAAGATATTGGATTTTTGACAACTATGTAGTCGTCATTGTTTTTGATTGTATGATATTGTTCAGGTACATGGCTGATTGATAAATTCAGTAATTTCATTGCACAGGATTGGGTTGATAAATTCTAAGTCCTGACTGCACAGCTTCATGACTAATAACTTGTCCAGGCAGCTCCAGGTGAATGTTTGACAGTACACTCACCTTTTTGTCAGAGTTCTGTACAAATGTAAACATTCTTAAAAAATCAGTTTACATCATCTGCAAACAGAGACACGTGACTTTTCACATATTTCCCTACTATCAGATCATCTAAAAGGCTGAATGTAAATGAAACTGCAGCACAGACAACCCCTGTGTTCCGCAGCAAGTAGATCTAAGCCTCTCTAATGAACAGAGAGAGAATGAGACTCCAGGGAACACTGTGCATCAAAAACAAAAGAAACTCGTACAGCACTAT